CTAACTATTAAAATCAATAAAAATTAAGCTTTAAACTAACTATTTAAGAAATTAATATAAAATGAACAAAACACATAAAATGTAAATTATATTTTACAAAATGTTAATACAGTTAAAATCGAAACTAATATCAATTTTTTTTTAATATTTATAAACAATTATCTAAAAATAAATTGATTTGATATATATGTTAACTATTTAAAAAATCAATATAAAAGAGTCTCATTATCAAAAAATGAGAAAATTATGTCTGTAAAATTGTCAATATTTACAAAACATTATGTTTCAAAATAAAATAGGAATCAATATCATTAAATTAACAAAGGAAAAAAGTCATAAGAAATTAAGTTGATATTTAGGATAACATTTTTTAAAAAATTAACATAATAAAACTTAACAAAAAAAAACAAATGATGCAGTAATATTTTTAGAGAAGCCGAACAAAATATTTAAACTGAGTAGTTATAATATGTCAAGTAGACATTATAACTAAAATAAAAAATTAATATTAAAAAATTAAATTTAAAGAAAAAAACATTCAAGTAAAATAAATTAACTTGATATTTCTGTTACCTATTTTGAGATTTAACAACAAACAACTTAACCATAAAAAAAATCAAAGTCACAATTACATAAAACATATAAAACAATTTGTATAAATCAAAAGAAAATATAAATTTACTATCAAAAGATGTAAAATAACAGATTTTTAAAGTATTGATATCTACAATTAATAACTATCTAAAGTTGTAATAGGTTTGAATAAGTTTCTAAATCAAATATATTCTTAAAATATACAAAGGTTAATAGAGGGTTATTGGTAGATGAATTTTAGAAGATTGTTAGAATTTTCAAAATATGTTATTATTGGTTAATATATTTTGACATACTTACTAAAATACAGTGTTATTGGTTTGATGATTTTTAACATCTATATACAATCTATTGTTATTCAAAAGGTTTGGATTTTAAGGATTTCATGATTCCATTAAAATATTTTGTTATTGGGATATATTTTCTACAAATTAACACATAAGACAAATTTTTTATAATATTAGCTATCTCTCTTAGATTCTCAAAATCAATCATATTAAAATATTTTTATAGATTTTATAAATATACAAACTCTTTCCAAATCTAATAAAACTCTTCACAAATTTAACAAATATCTCAATTTTAAAAATCAAGCAAATCTTTATAAATCTATCTCCCAATAAACCCCCCTCCCTAATACACTGGATGCAGCTGATTTGGAAACTAACAAAACAAAATACTACATAAATATCTTTACACTCGAAATTTATCGAGCAATAAAATCTGATTTTTATATATAGCTACTACTTATATCTGAACCAACATTAATAACACATAAGTGATACCTTCTAAAATTCTATTTAAATAATAAAGTATGACAGAGTTATGAATCAAACACAAATTAATATATTTAGATAAAATATTCAACCAAAATATGCAAAAAACACAATAATAACCCATAAGTGATACCTTCTAAAATATAGCTACTATTTATATCTGAATGAACATTAATAACGCATGAGTGATACCTTCTAAAATTCTATTTATATAATAAAGTATAACAGAGTTATGAATCAAACTCAATTGATATATTAAGATAGAATATTTTTTTTTAACTGCAAATTGGTATTCATATAGAATGAAGATAATCATGATACATAGAATTGGTTATCCAACATAGAATATACAAATCAAAATATGCAAAAAATACTCAAAAGATAAAAACTGTGAAAAATGACGCAAATACTCCAAACCAACTATCCTACAAATTTTAATACTAAAATCATCAAATATTAGACTGCCAGAAAACAAATCTCAATGATAAACTGAATAAAAATATAAAATAAAACTCGTGGAAGACATGATGAGGAAGGTTTTGTATGATCATTGCAGTTTCTAGCAACAGTAATGCGAATCAACATGAATCATATATTATATATACATAGGTACACAATATTAATAAAATATTCAATCAACAAATTAAATATTTAATATCTATACTATTAAAAGAGAAGCATTACTTTCAAATGTCCAAAAGCTACCATGGTCTTTACTAAATGTGCTATTAAATTCTCTAGAAAACTTAATCATTTCATTAAAAGTAATTTTGTGCTATCATTAAACTGTTAACAAATGTATTAAATTATATTAAATTATATTAGTTTGTTAACATATAATATCAATAAATTATATATGATACTAATATAATTTAATTTCGAAATTATTTCAGAATGTTTCTTAATATCATATAATATCTTAACATAATTATCATATATGTATGGCATGAATAACTAATATAATTAAATATATATTATATTATAAATTAAATATATATTATATTATAATCAATTTTTCAATATCTATTAAAAGAGAAGCACTATTTTAAAATGTTCAAAAATTATCATAGTATTTACTAAATGTGCCAATTGATAGTCAATAATGTATGTGTAATAATTATTTTTTTGGTTACATATATACTATGAAAACATATTATGTAAATAATTAATTTCTGGATTGTTAACAATTTTTAGTTAATAAATCTCTCAAAAAAATGGTTCAAACTCTTTTTCATTTTCTTCTTCTTTAAAAATAGATATTTTATCAAAACAATGATGAAATATCATTGATAAGATTACAACAATAAATGAAAGTTATATAACATAATCCAAAAACTCATTTTTATTGGATTTAATTTATACATTTGAACAAGATAATTTTTTTTAACATATATTTCACATCTAATAATTTTTTAGAAATATAATATAATCGTTGTAATCATAATTTTTTTTATCACACTCTATACTAATTGCATAATCTTATGATAATTTTAATTTAAAAAGCAACTAATATATTTGGTACAATGTTCACGAATCATATTTTAAAAAATTATAATTACAAATCACATAATTTATGGTTATAAATCTGCTTGAGTTTTTTTTTAACATATTGTGTCAGTTATTATTTAAGAGAATTTACATAAATATTTTGAAAACTAAAACAAAAATCACGGGTGTTCATATCTGTCTTAATAGAAGTACTTATCATACACTATTCAAAATCGAATATCTTAGTTGTATGTATTATCATCTTTAATTGTATATAGATGATCCTTAACGGGTTTCATGATTTCTTTTTTCTCAAATGATTTAACAATAAGACACCATGTTCTATAGAAGCTTTTTGAATCAAAAAATCGTGAAGAATTACCGATTTCTAAAGCAAAGAATCGAAGCTAAAAATCAAAAAAGATCTCAATCGCAAAATTTATAATTTGAGAGTATTCAGATTGAGACAAAAAAGAATTATGTTTGCATGTGTTGCTATTGGATTAATAAATAAATAAACTACTTCTCGAATGTGCTAAAATGTTAGACAAATGTTTTTGGTCTAGGCTTCAAAATAAAATACAGGTCCAGAATATTACAAATAAGTTTAGAACAAAATTTAAAATGAGTCAAAATATTTTTTGAAACAAAACCTTTTACATTTTGAAAGTTATTGTAAATTTGTAAGGAGAAAAAATGAAGTTAATGTAAATAATAACTTATAAAATATGTCAAAAATGCATACATGTTTTATTTTATGTTGGTCCAATATATTGAATTCAGACACAATAACAAATTAATTAAAATATCTAACCCAATTTTTCTTACTTCCATTGTGTAAATACATAATATAAGAATCAAAAATATTTTTAAATCATCAAACCTGCGCTTAGCGTAAATTCAAAATCTAGTATAACCTTTAAAAAAATGTATAAATCCTATGGAAAACAAAACAAAACACTCAGATCTTAGCAAAGAAACATTTCTCTAAATCAAACGTGTGTGCACGTCGAAGTTAGATAATTTGATAAGTATCTTTGTTATTATTATAGATAGTAAGATTTAAATTTTTATAAAAAAATAGGAGAAAACTATACATTGTATTTTAATTCTCTTATATAATTTTTTTATATATATCTATGATAGTTTTGATAATTTTAAAAGTAATAAGTAAAAGAAAAGAATAAATCAAACTATTTATACAGACTCACGTGTAGTATTTTAATATAATGGCTTTGAAAATTTAAGCCATATATAGTCTTGGGGGGGGGGGGGGGGGGAGCTGTTATTGGGAGATGGCTTTTAAAAAAAAAAATTCAAAATTTGAGATTCCATCATTATTAGTTTATAAGTTCATAAAATCTTAATTGAATCCATTGTTATTGGTTTAAAGATTTTAAAATTCTTTCCAAAATCTTTTGTTATTCAAAAAGTTTGGGTTTTAAAGATTCTATGATTCTATTAAAATCTTGTATTATAAGAACATGAATTTTAAACAATTTAACTCATAAAACAAGATTTAAAAAGACTTTTAAAATACTACCGATATGGCTTAGATTCTCATAGTCATTATAATAAGATATTTTAATAGATTTTCTAAATATACAAACTCTTTCCAAATTTAACAAATATTTGTAACAAATTTAACAAAACTTTCAACTCTTAAAATCAATCAATCAAAACTGTATAACTCCATATCCCAATAACCCTCTCTTAATTTTTTTGCTAAAAGCTTGTTTTATGAGATAAATTGTTTAAAATACATATCCCAATAATATAAGATTTTAATAGAATCATAAAATCTTTAAAACCAAACTTTTTAAATAACAAAGGAGTTTGGATTTAATTTTAAAATCTTTAAAAATAATAACACAATAAATTATATTAAGATCTTTAAGAATCTATAAACCAATAATAATGTAATCTTAAAATTTTAAAAGTTCTTTAAAATCCACCTCCCAATAAATCTCCCAAATTTATCTCCACTAACATTGTTAATGGGTTTGACTGGTATTCAACTTAATAGCTGAATAGCAGAATAACTGAATAATAAACTAGCGAAATCATTAGGATGGATAAACTGAAAACTGAATAAACTCAAAACGCTAAAAAACTAATATCTATTAGTTGGATAGATTTTTCTCTAAACTAGTTATAAATTTAAAACATATGTGATGAATTAAAAAATAGTATGCCGATTTTTACTTTTTATCATTCAATGCTTAATATTATGAATGATATGCATTTAGTGGAATCACATTTTCAAAATGTGAAAAACTGCATATCATTCAACCCTAATATTCGCATATCATTCAACCCTAATATCAGAATAATCTCTAAGTTCACTAGTCTCTGCTTCTTCAGCTTCACCTGAAATCCACATTAAAAGAAAAGAAAATGAAGTTAAGATATGGCTTCAAATTAGCTAATATAAACCATAAATCCACAAGGGACAACGATCTCAAAAAAATCTTTGACTCAAGATTTAGATAACTCAATCAAATTCATGGTGTTTGTGTATTTTAACTTACCAAGGAGCCGACAAATCTGCCATCACTTCATCTTGATAAAAGTGATGTCGAACCCTAACAATGGGAATTGGTCTTAAATTCAACTCCAAGAGTATCTGAATGAAACGACAATGTATTGAGATTATTTAAGTACAATAAGCGAACAATCTCTCTCAACTAGAGGTTCTTCTCCTGGTTCCCTTATCTTCTCTTTAGCCACTTTTCTGCTCCTTTGCTCGAGCTTTCCTGCCATTCGATCGTTTCCTTCTTCTCACAAATGCCAAAGGAACCCTTAGTCTATCACAATCAAATAAAACTGACTCAAAATCAAACTCCACTTCTTCAAGCTCAACATCAAGATCTTTTAGACATGACTCAATCTCACATATATTTTTGTTAGCTGCATCTTTCTCTTCTTTTGCCGTCTCCTTACGCTCTCTCAGAGCCGCTTCTTGCTTCTGCAGCTCGAGAATCTTGTGTTTCACCTCAAGCATCTTGACTTCTTTCTCACTAACCTCTTGTCCCGCCTTGCGCATTTTGCTATATTCATCATCCATCCTCTCTTTGTCTAAACCTTTTTGTTCCTCCAATATATTCAGTTGTCTATCTTTAAGAGCCAACAGCTTTTTGATCCGTGATAGTGGCCTTGTAACATCAAATCCATGCTTCTCTAGCTCGGTGAATGAGTCTCTGAGGCTATCAAGTTGGCTTACGGAAACGTCGGTTTCAAGATCTCTCAGCTTCTCCAATAAACCGGTAAAGGTTGCCATCATACCTATCGCAGAACCTTCACGGAAATCTCCTTTAGTCTTGAGTAATGGACTGAAATGAGGACTTTGTGGTACTCTTTTAAAGACTTCCATTGTTTCATACGTCTTCCAAATAGGTGACTTCTTCGCGAAAGGCAGAACCATTGCTGTATCTTTCGCTTGGGTTCCCTCAACATTAGCAGCATGGCTCTTCACCGAAATAGGGGTTTGATCTGAGGATAGCACTGGATGTATCAAACGCAGAACCAAAACAATGAAGAAAGAAAGACATTTTCTTTAGTATATCTAGCAGTAAGTAACAGTTAATTACATACTTTTCATGGATCTAAGCTTTTCCAAATGATTCAATGAGCGTTAAGACAAAGCATACCAGTATCATTGAGGTCTGAATTGTGTTCCTCTACTTCTCCTCTTTTCCTCTTGCAAGTTTCTTTTCCAGATTTTGGCTGAAAAACAGAAAGAACATTACAATGCAATCCCAAAGATTCCACATTAGATAAACCAAACACACACAATGTTGACTAAAACCAGTCACCTTTGGTCTATTATACCATATCCCATCTTCCCACTCCATTATAGGCCTAAGATCTGAGTGATTGAATTGCGACACATCCGCCTTTGTTTCCCAAAAACTTACCATGTATCGTCCCTCAAACACAATTCCCCTTACCACACCTTGTTCCCATACCGAACCATTAAACGCCTCTACACGATCCAACAACTCATACTCTCCAACACCAAAAAGAGGCTGCTTAGGCCTGACTATACGTGGATCAACAACTGCCATTTTCAATTTCCCAGTGCAGCTGAAGGACTCATCACAGTACTTAACAAGGAATCTCTTTCCTTTCTCATACTCTACCTCCTTAATGATCATTGCTGGACGCCAGGATAAGTATGCCCTCAATTCCACCATGGTCCCGGAACTAAAAACGGACTTGACCAATTCCTTCAAAAAGACATCAAAACGTATAATAAAGGATAAGCTAGCTCACACAAGCCAAAAGTTACAAACTTTGATATGCAAAACAAAACCAAAAGTTACAAACTTTGACTTGCAAACACAAAACCCAAAGTAACAAACTTTGAATTTCATACACACAACCAAAAGTTACACAAATTGACTTGCAAACACAAACACAAACCCAAAAGTTACAAATTCACTTGCAAACACAAAACCAAAAGGCAAAAACTTTGACAGGCAGACACAAAACCAAAAGTTACAAATTGAATTAAAAACTTTGACATGCAGACACAAAACCAAAAGTTACAAATTGAATTGCAAACATAAATCCGGATCGATCAGAGCCTCGTACCGTGTTTTTTGGTCGTACCCATTTCGAACTGGTCCAATCAAGATGAGCCCTCAACTGCTTCCTCTCAAACTGAATGATGTCTGGTGGTGAATTGAAGTAAACCAGATATGTATCATCCTCCTTCCTTTTCACAACCACACCTCTCCACCAACTATTTTTGTAATTAGCGTTAACCAGTGAGCCTTCCTCAAATCCAGCGCCGCTGACGTTCAGATCCTCCGGTGGGACAGGTCGGATTAAGCGCTGATCAACGATTTCAGACAGAGGACCCGAACCGTCTTTTTTGAGCAGAGTCTTGTAACGGACTCGGAGCAGTTTGTGCTCTGATTTCGTTGGGGTTTCTTTAAGAATCGCTCTGTACCAAATGCCTTTGAATCCATTCTTTGAATAAGAGACTTCTACTTCACTGTCTTTTGTAATGGATCCCATTTGCTCCTTCTCCGGAAAAACAAATACAAAAACTCCAAAATAAAAACTTTAAAGGTCGTCTTTTTCTAACTTTAGAAAGTAGAAACTCTAAAACTTAATCGAACACGTTTCTTTCTTCTCTTCCTCTGAGAGCCGGAAACCCTCAGGGATGAAGGAGAAACTTGCTTCTCTTTGAAATTCTAATACGAAAGTTTACTTTTTTGCAGCCAAACATAGTATTTAGACTATTAGTGGAAGACGATAAGTCGATAATTAAGTTTTTTTTTTTTCTAATTTAGTTTTCAGTTATCGGCGCTTAAAATTATGTAAAACTGGAGTAAACAAATGTTGAAACAAAGAAGAACAGGAATGGCTGATCATGTATTTGATTTTATATTTGATTAATATTTTCTTATATATATAGGTATTTGATAAATTTATTCGTATATGCTTATCTAATGAATTCTTCATATGTATTATGTAAGTGGTATGACTTTATTGATCATCTTGATTTGTTGATCTAGCTTAAACGTTTTGTAATGTATTATCAAAATGTTATTTTGTTTTTCGTAATTGTTTAATAAATATTATATTTTGATTTTGTATATGTTTCTTTAGTTTCTTTTTATGTCTATGATTTTGGTTTGGTTTAGTATATCTTATATTTTTAGCTGATAAATATAGATGAGATTATTTTTGTTGAGAATTTTGTGATATTGATTGGGTTTTTGTTTTGTATCGAATGGCTAACGGTTGTCTACTTTTAATTGGGGATTGGTGGTTGTTACCATGTCAAGTACCATTCATAAGTCTACTTTCACATTTTACTCGAGAGGTTTGTGCCGTTATGGTTTTTGTATTGTTTTAATGTTTCAGATTTTGTGTATATTTTCTTTTGTGATATTTATATTCTTATAATAAGTTAAAATTGTATTTGATGTTTTTTCTGTATTTACATCTAACGATTCTTTTTATTCATTGTGATGTTTAATGTGTGATAGGGTTCTTGCAAGTGTGTGATTAATGATATGTTCAATGTTGTGTTTAAAGTGTAGATGACGTGTTGGGATCATTAAAGGTAAGAAGTTTCGTATTCTTGAGTGTATCTGCTTGGTCGTGACTGCCTTGAAGAGGAATACATTCGTTGATATTTCGTCGAGATTAATGAAATTGATTGTATTAGGTTGGCTATGATTTGTAATAGTGTTGTGTTCTCTTAATAAATTATTTTCTTATTCTATTTGGTTGTTCCATGATGTTATCTATTATTTGTATTTAAGTTGGCTATGATTTGTAATAGTGTTGTGTTCTCATAAAAAAAAAATATTTTCCTATTCTATTTGGTTGTTCTATGATATCTCTATTGTATTTTTCGTCTTTTTTTTTTAAGATGTCTACAAATAAGAGCTTGGTGTGCTAATTTAAATAAGTTAGTATGTGGTATCTTGAACGAGATTATATAAGACGAGATGTTTCTATGCATATTGATGTATATATGCGTAATATGTATATATTGTTGACATCTTATAAGTAAAAAAATAAAATTGGATATATCCTGGAGTATACTATTCTTATCCATCGGGAAATTTTTATATTAATTTACTTTAAAATTTTGTTGGTTAGGATTGTTAGTGATATCATGTTGTTCGATATCGGATATCTTGAGTTATGCTAAAATATTAAAGTCGTTGTCATTTATACGATCTAAAAACATTTGGATGGTGATAGTGTAGATTGTTGTAGTGGCTTTTTATATTCGATGTTTATTTACTTCCATTGGATTTGTATGGGTCGAATTAATTAACTATTCGTTTACTTGGACCCAATATGGTTTGCAACGATCTTGATATGGACAAATAATTGGAAAGCGAACAGATGTCAGTGATTTATAAAAGAATATTTATCCCCAAAGTAGATTGCTTACTGCCATATATCACCTTTTAGGGTTCTTTAAGCCGCATAACTTTCTTTCCTTTGCCGTTCGAGAGGACCCCATAGTTAAACTACAGGGAATACCTTTCGATCTTTGCCTCAGTGTTCTTTTCTTCGCTATGGATTCTCTTTCTGAGATAAAAAAGGGTTTCATTCAGCGGTCTGTTCGTGTGAAGGTTCTTCGAATTTGGAGACATGCCAATTTCTTCGATCGTACATTGGAGCTAATAGTTACCAATGCTTAGGTAAATTTTTAGAAACAGATAAGTGGAATAATTTACTATTTTCTGTTTGCATGTGAATTTTTTTTTCAGAATTTGTTGCTTATTTATATTTTGATCTCTATTTTTTGCTAGCGAACACAAATCTCGGTGACTGTCTTGCCCGGTGAATTGCTTATCTATAAAAACTGCTTCAAGGAAGGATCTTGGTATGAGTTCTGTAATTTCGAAGTTAAACACGAGACTGGATCTGTGGTTTTGTCCGACCACGGTCAAAAGATCGAGTTTGGTTGTTTGACAAGGGTTAGGAGATTTGATGATGGACCTCCTGGATTATTTCTTCTCTGTCGGCGAATTTTCGATATTCGTACTAGGGAGTATGAACCTTAATCTTTAATCGGTAAATTTTTTTTTGAGTTTTTTAGATTTGTTTCGTACTTGGTTACCGTGATTGTATGTTTCTGAAATACGTTTTTTCACAGATGTAATGGGAACTATTTTGAGGATGGGAACTCCGCAGGACAATAACAATGATGCATACGAAGAGAACTTGTGTCACGTTCGTTTTGAACTCTGCGATGCGAGGTTAGTAGTTTGCAAATTATTTTTGCATTAAATATTTTTGTTGTTATTTTATGGTATATTCATAGTCGATGTAGTTGTCATAGGAAAGATGGTGTCGTTGCGTGTATTGCGAGAGGAGCTATTGCTATGCACTTTGTTCGTGTGTACGGGCAAAATGATGCCGAATCGATAGTATGTGTTCTCAAGTTCTAGATAGTATCTGATGGCAAAGGTAAGTATATTATTATGTGTAATAATAGGTAAAAAAATGATCTACTTTGTTTTCGGTTTCTAATTAAGTCTAACGAGTGTTGATTGATTTTCTTTGTTTCAAGAGTCTAATTAATATATTTTGTTGTACAGGTCCCAACTCTAAGGATGTTGTCTTGCGGTCTCATTATCTAAGTTCCCAGTTCATATTTAACCCTCTCGATGATGATATCCACGAGTTTCTGGAGATGTGAGTTCCTGGTTTTTAGGATCAACTATTTCTTCTGGTACGTAATTCGTGTTTATGCTTTTGTATTGCTAATTTTCTGAATCTACTCCAATGCAGTCGTGGTAGCCTCAACCGCCGCATTATTCAGTGACGAGGCGTCTGGCATGGACTGGTTTTGATGTCGTCGTTGTCTTCACTGAATTTTTTTTATTACTTGGACCTTCTATAATTGTTATATTTGAACAATTAATTTTATGTTATTTATGTTTGAATTGTCTGCTATCGGATTTTATATATTTTAATTGTGCTTTTGTTTAGTCATTTTAAGATGAACCATTTAATAGATTTTAATTATTATTCATATGATTATCGAGAAGAACAACAAGTTGGGCTTGGAATTTCGTTACGTTTATGTAAATTGTATATTAAATTGGCTCTCTGTGTATGGATTTTCTAGCAAAATCGTGTGATTATCAAGAAGAAAAGTTGTTGGGTTAAGGAGTCCAATACACTTCTACGAAGTGTAAATTAAACTGGGTGTACATTGTTGTCTCACATAAATTTTTTTAATTCTTGGAGTTGCTTTTATGTGTTATTTGCGAGCGTTTTTGTTTTATTTCTTGGTTGTTTGAAATATGTTATCTCAGAGCTTAGTTTTTTTAATTACTTGAATGACTACCGAGAAGAGAAAGGTGTTGGGCCTGTAGGTCCAATAAATATATGCGAAGTATTGTTTTGAATCTAATTATTTGTATGACTATCGAGCAGGAAAATAATATTGGGCTTAAAAAGTCCAATAAATATATACGAATTATAAATTAAACCGGCCCTTAATAAGTCGATTTTATGATTTGTGATATTGACAAATAATTCAAATCTACTATTCTAATTTCTTGCTCGGAATTTCCAATGGTGTAATCTATCGATTTTGGCAGTGTATTGTGATATTGTTCATGACGGTAAAGTAAGACATTTTGTAATTAGCACTCCAGTTACATGGTTTATTATGTTTTATTATGTTTATGATCTTTTAATTGTACAAAACGATACTATAGTTCACATTCAAAAACGAACCATTTGTGATATTTAGTTTATTTATATATAATTCACGTAACATAATCAGTAAACAAGAACGTGGTGTTGGGCTCGACAGACTAAATAATATTTTCGGACTATAGGTCGAGCTGTATCCTGATATGTTGATTTTTCAACTATTTATATAATAGGCAATATTTATAGTGAGTTTATTCTAAAGTTTTGGAATTTAATTGATCGAAATCCTCATAGGAGATTGCAAACTGTCAAGAACAGTGAAAGGTCTGCGCCATTAGATTTTTTCATTCCTCCCAGACATGCATAATTATTATATTTTGAAAACAAAAAAAAATCGAAGATTGGAAAATTGACCATATGATTTATCGATATTCATTTTTTGTTTTTTTGTTCTTATCAATGTCGGAGAGACCAATGATATAGCGAGTTTATAAGAAAAGGATATTGGCGCATTCTCTGTAGATAGAAGAATCTTTTATAAACTTTTATCTTCTTTGAGCTCTTTGTTTTTCATCTTTGTGCTACGATGCGGGACATCGTTAAAGTATCTGAGTTAGATAATTTGGTTGTCAATCCTGGTATTGAAATTAAAGTACTGAAGAAATGGCATTCGAGGGATAGGAATCGCCGTCTTAAGTTGAAGATGATCTTAGTTGATATACATGTGAGTTTTCTCATTCGATTTTCATGTCATTTTTTTTTCTTTGTATCTTCTACATTGTATTTGTGTCTCGATTGAGTTTTGGATAATGTTTACAGGGGTCGAAGATACAAGCTTCGATTGGAAATAAATACGTTCATTTGTTTGATGATCTGCTTGTTGAAGACCGATGGGAGCTCTTGTGCGGGTTTGTGGTTAAAACTTCTAATGGTTTGACGCGTTTGGCAAGACATCCATTTAAGTTAATGTTTGTTACAAACACCACGTTTATTGGTGTTGGTGGTCCTAGAGGTGATTTGTTTCTGTCTTTAGCTGACTTTGGGGATGTTCTTGGGGGTCGTCTTGATGTCACGTATACTATTGGTAGACTTTGTGATAATCAATAATAAAATCATTTAAGTTGAAGGAATAAAC